ATTGCATCGTAGTAGTCTAACTGAGATCAAAAATTGATAAAAATTTACTTTCCAAACTCTGATCTGGTGTGTTTTATTCTCTGACAACACTAGGCTCCATCAGCTCCATCGCCTCCATTGCCTCCATCGTAAATGAAAACTTGATTGAAGATCCTTGTACACTTAAGAGTTATGGCAAACCTACTTCAACGTCGTTTTTTTTGTACCATATCCTACAAACCCAGTCAGATTATGAAAATTTGGCTATTCCTCTCGCCATTTCTCGCTGAATCGACGCTAGTGTCGATCGACACAATGTTTCATATTTGTTTCTTATTTATGTGTTTTTCAAATGGAGTTATACATTCACACTATGGAATTGAATTTGGGGCAAACTTACTTGCAATGTTGTTCTCGTCCCGGATCTCGCAAGACCAGTCAAGAACACGTTCTGACCAACCTTAGCTGAAGTAACCGAAACATTCTGACCATCCTTAGCTGAAGTAACCGAAACGTTCTGACCATCCTCAGGTCGTGTTTAGGTCTTGTGACCCTACTCCTACAATTTGAGACTAAAATGTCGCGGATTTCCCAGGATTTCCCAAATCAGCATCAACCTTCCTGAAACAAGCATAACATTTTTAGCAGGTTATGCTAAGTTCAATGAAGGCTTATGGTTGCCCGTGAAGACTGGAATTGATTGGGAATTTCCGCCGGAAATTAACGGGAATTTATGGTGACTGGGAATTTAATTTTTCAAACGACCATAGCTTTCTATATAAAAAAGTGCTTATATATCCCAGCGCATTAAAAAAAGAGAAGCTGCTGAGCGTGTTAAGTTAAACCCCCACGAGATACCTCTCAACTCTCATTTTATTGATTACTTCAAAGAGGTAATCCGCTCATGCTTTCAACCCTTTCCCCACCACGCCCCAGTTTTGACCGCTGTACTGGATGTGACCGTGGTACCTCCCTCCACCGTGCTACACATCACCTTGTGCATCTCTGGCCTTATGTAGCTGCACTATGCGTACGTGTGCATCAATGCCATCACCTCGAGTCTGGGTATTCGGAGGTTCAACATAGAGACGAGACATGTCCCAGAGGTTAGTGGGGTTCTACCGGAGAGGTGACATACCCTTGAGACATAATTCACTTCACCTAGTACTTCAATAATTTTGGCATAATTAGGACGCAATTGCCCAAATGGAGGCAGCCAGGACGACGTTTTCAATAAAAGCCCAATGCAATTGTTCAATTTTTTGGTATTTCCTGATCGAATTTAACATTGGTATCTTGTAAGTTGCACAGCCTGTCCCCTGGTCAATATTGGTATTTTCGTATCGAACGCAAATTAAAAAAAATGTAGAGGAACGGATTGGCGAACCTCCGCCCACACAAAAAAATATCATCTCGAGTTGTAAATTTTGCAAAATTGAATTATTTCGAGTTGATATTCAACAACTTCCGAGTTGCTGTAGATGCATGAAAATTTCGACAGAGTTTGACAGCATGAATATGTCCAACGTATGCTTATATCGCTTTATGCTGCAGATGTACTGCGTGTGCGCCTGACAGAGTACTTTGTCACATTCTTGCAAGATATTCGAGTAGGAGTATAGATATTCAATTGTTTTTCTGAGCTCATAATAAGTTTCAACGCTGGCATGACTTTTTAACTTTTATCTAAATCAAATAGTGTTTGTCAGTGTCTAACACAGAGTTATCTAACATATATTAAGGTTTTATCATCTATTGAGCTTTTGAACATAGAGTCGCCAGCATATTCTATATCCCCCAACTTATATAGAGTCCTGCTATATCATACAATGTTGTTTTTGATCTACCTCAACTGCCCCATTATGATTTGTACACAAAACGAGCGGTTTCTGTAGGTAGCGTATGTTCTAGGATTCAGGAGGTGTGTACCGTCTCTATGCAATTTACGTAGTACCTTGCATTACTTTGGACATTTATCGCAGTCTTCAGTCCGCCCCAACACCATAGTTTATATTCGCTTCTTGTTCTCAACCGAGTACACGTCATAGTCTTCAGCCTGGAACAGCCGAGTGCGTAGCCAGTACCACAAGGTGCTAGTCGAACATTGCAGAGGATTGTTGCCCCCGATTTTGTACCAGCTGTTGCAGTCGGCTGCGAAGGCGAGTTTGTTCATCTCTGCGTCTACCGTCTCAATGTGCGCCCTGGGAGTGTACGAGTGACATACTTATTCGCTGAAGACAGAAAGGCCACTTGTTCTTGTATATACAGGACACCAGTTTAAAACAGCATACTTCGAGTTCTAGATGAAAAGAGCACTATGACTAACACGTCAGACCATTCTCAAATTCTTAAAAGTGCGTTAGCAGTCACTCTGAACGACAACTCCATTGCGCCGAGTCGCGATACTTTAAATAACTATCCACTCCACAATATATAGAAACATGGGCCAAATCAAGACACATTGATACACACATACAAGAATACAAAGCGAACACAAACATGTACACGAGCATAGTTCGGCTTCCAAGAAAAATAACAACGACGTAACAGCGTATATACACCGACAAACATACATGACAACACAGGCACATAACCTCACCTGAGCACATCCTCCTTGACAGCCACAGCATCCACATTGTCCGTCTCCCAGACGTACTTGATTGCCTGACAGATGTATTCCGCTTGTGTCTCCAACATCTGGATAATCGAAGAATGCCCCAGATTTGTATTCGGCCCGTACAATATACCCATATTAGGGAAGTCATTCATAAATATACCCAGGTAGGCGCGGGGTCTTTTACCCCAGACAGCGTTCAGCACAAGGCCACCAATGCCGTGTATGATCATGGGGAACAGTACATTGGTCGCTCTAAATCCGGTACAGTAGATGATGGTGTCTGCGGTGTGCGTGGTGCCATCGCTGGTCACCACGCCATCGGCCACTACTTCAGTCATACTATCTGTGACCTGTGAGCGCAGGAGAGTGTGTGAAGCGGATTGTAATCCGTATATGAGAGTGTAGTTGAAATCATATCTACACATATTTACAGTACCACACTCATACCCACACAGATGGCGGGTATCACGGGGTGGCATAGTGCGTGCGCGTGTGGTTGCGATGGGGCTGTATCCCACATTGGGATCAAGAAGCGATGGAAAAGTAGACTCGAGAACCCAAAAGGATAACGCAGGTACGTGTAGCCCGATGTTTAACAAGGCCGTAAAGCTGCACTTGTGCGAACGAAATACGCGCTGAATGACACCCGGCCAATTTAAAACCAAGCTGATATATACTTTACATTTTATGCTAGATAAAACCGAATGTATACTCACACATCATATGCTTATTCTGTAAAAGGCAATTTACTTTTGCAATCTATACATCTCCGCAAACACAGCTCAATAGTTGTACGTACCCATATAACTCGACATAGTTGATATCATTTGCGCCTTACTGGACGCCACCATAGTATGAGGATGTGAAGGTATCACTGCATTGCCCAACTGGAAAAGACGCGCATGATACTTACCAATGCAACATTGTCGCGCATTAGGGCAGGATACCAGTCACTTGAAAATAAGGTTCGTTTGCAGTAAAACTGGTAATCCGGTTCCACTTTGCGTATGAGATCGGAGTTTGGACCCTCTTTATCCCCCATCTGCGTTCTGACTATGCCGACGTACCCCAGAACAAGCGATGAATTTCATACTTTGACTGAAAGGTGTTGATGCGTTTGCATCGGGTACGAACAATCTAATATCCATGCTTACTCATCAACCGACTCATCAACCGACACCGAAATGCTTTCGTAAATGGAAACTTAAAATACCTTGTGACAGACCAACGGTCTTGCCAAGGAAGGCATTCAAGAAAGAGTCTCTCTTGCTTGCTGCCTGGTACAACAGTTCCTGTGTGCAGAGGAAAAGAACGAAACCCTAAATATGCATCTACGATATAGTGCAAATGTGGCATAGGAGCTAGGGGATACACAAAAAACAGACGGCCACCAAGAACCTGGGAAGGAGAAACATCATCTACCTCTCGGAAATAGTTCACTTCTGTGTAAAAAGGACACTAGCTTTTGCGCAACCCACATGACACTAGCTTTGCGCATAAGGGCAACACTTTCGATTCACGCCCTTCAATTCAACAATGCAATAGACTCGCAAGACCATAAGCAAATACAAATTGAACAGGCAAAGTGTAAGGACACCATAAGTTTCGGTGCGGATATACACGGCACCAGCGAGCACAACAGACAATGGGAAAACCATTCTCTCGAGTATATTGCGAGCCTATACACAGTACCACACAACGCACTACATACACACGATAGCACCACCTACATACCGCAAACATCCAAAAGGAGTACCGGTGAGCTTTCAAGTACAGAGGCAGGTATCGGTAGCACATGCGTCGGAACGAGCTATATGTCTGGTTGTGCTTCCAGACGATATAAGACGGGGTGCGTTGTATGACGGTCAAATGCGAGGCCACCTTCGCGACTTCCGGTACAATCTGTATGGCACACGCGCCAGCCCCAACAACGACGACTTTCTTTGGTGGTTGGTGTGATCATGGTGTGTGGTTTGGAACGAACGTTAAGTGCATGCCAAAGCAATGAATGAAATATAGCTGCGACGACGCGCGTAGTATCGAGGTTGAACTGCCCATACTTATCCATTATACACGCCACTTGACACAGTTGAAGATTACCGACTATCTTGTTGGTGGGGTAATACAGAGGACACTGTGAATGAGAACGGTCTCCTCTAGCTAGCTCGTGTGAATGCGGTTCGTATATCATGAATACACATTTCATGCTCCGATCGACATATCCTATAACTCACCCACCTTGTTCTTCACAACGTCTAGCTGAGCAGGTGATGAGCAGGTGCCGTCGTTAGACTCGGTGGGCCAGCGAGCGGAATGGAAGGACTCCCCGGTAAAGGTATCTTTCACGCCTGAATCAGTAGGCAGGTACAATAACGAATATATGTCTGTGCTTTTGGTATAACAGTGTGAATCCCGCAATCAATGAGCAAATGTCACTGTGTGTGTAGCAACGGTGTTGCAATTGGGCTCAGAGTCTCTAGAATTGAATAATTCCCTCCGATGAATCTAAAAGGAGGTAACCAAATGAGGCGGCAGTATCCATAGGTCGGGTGCATTTGCTTGATAAGCTTAAGCGTCGTACAGACCCCCGGGGCTTGTTGGAAGCTACTATTTAGAGACCATTCTTTGCCGCAATGGGTAATGTATCGTGATGACTAAAAGGGCAGGACTGTTGTAGTGACGCCAACTCGAAGCGTGCGCCTTCAAAAACAAACAAGAGTACTTCCCAGGAATTTGGTATCTACATTACATTACAGTACCGGCGCTGATGATAGCTTGAGGCGCAGCCAACATGGCAGAGGTAAAACTGCGCTCCCAAAAGTAAGATAACTCTCAACCGCGACACACAGATGATACGCAAAATAGCTGATACCATGGGAGTACCTTTGACATTGGGTACCAGCGGATACGAGAGCTGTCCAGTAGCGGTTATAAACCACTTGGCCCGAAATATCACTTTCTCAATTTCCCCACCAACTCTGCGCTCGCATTCGATCTTCCAAGTACATTCCTTCTCCACCCACGTGGCCCTTGTGACCTCGGTATTGCAAACCACATGCGGAAGTATGTTGTTATCACGATAAAGACCGTCAATGTACTTGAGGATAGCAGGCTGGTCACTCCAGCGCCTATCCCATTCCGCATTCGGCGCGAATGAGAAGGAATACAGAGCTGTGGAGTCATTGAAAAAGGGAACAATATCGGCACCAATCAGAACCAACAGATAACCAAGGGCAAAGGGGGTAGCTCACAGGGTAAAATTGAATGCAAAACACTGATAGACTACAAAAACAACATATTCCCTTATGAAAAAAGCCAAACTAAGTTACAGTCAGACCTGGTTTTTAGTCCAACTCCATCAGAGTGATTTTTTCGGACTACTAACCAGGAGACTAGTCCCGTGGCTTGTGATTGGTCGAGAGGTCAAAGCTTTGCTTGACTGTAAACCACCTTACAGCATGCATGTATATACATATATATATGAAATATA